AGGCGGAGGTTGCAGTGAGCTGAGATTACACCACTGCATTCCAGCCTGGGAGGTTCTGACTCAAAAAAAAAAAAAAAAAAAAAAAAAACCAAAAAGGAGAAAAGGATGAAAGATGATTAACTTGTGGTATTTTGCAGTTAGCCATACCAGACTTTTTAAAAATCGTGTGTGTGTGTGTGAGACAGATCTTGCTCTGGCAGCCAGGCTGGAGTGCACAGGTGCAATCACAGCTTACTGCAGCCTTGATCTCCCTGGGCTCAGGTGATTCTCCCACTTCAGCCTCTGGAGTAGCTGGGACCCCAGGCACACACCACCAGGCCTCGCTAATTTTTAAATTTTTTATAGAGATGGGATCTTGCTATATTGCCCAGGCTGGTACACCAGATTTTCTTTACCTGGGGTTATGGTTTTGGGGGGGTTCATGAACCACACCCTAAAACCACACACAAGACATCTGTACAAATGTGAAAGTGTGTGCATTTGTACATATAGATGTAAAACTTTCCTCAGAATCCCAAAGAGTTGAATGATTTTTTTTAAGTTTGTGATGTTTTATTTGTTGTTTTAAACTTTTTAGGTTCGGGGGTACATGTGAAGGTTTGTTACATAGATGAGCTCACGTCACAGGGCCTTGTGGTACAGATTATTTCAACACCCAGGTAATAAGCCCAGTACCTAATAGCTCCCTTTTCTGCTCCGCCCTCCTCCCCCACTCCGCCCTCAAGTAGACCCAGTGTCTGCTGTTCCCTTCTTTGTGTTCCTGAGCTCTCATAATTTAGCTCCCACTTATAAGTGAGAGGACCCGGCATGTGCTTTTCTGTTCCTGTGTGAGTTTGTTAAGGATAATAGACTCCAGCTCCATTCGTGTTCCTGCAAAAGACATGATCTCGTTCTTTTTTTATGGCTGTGAGTTTAACGATTTTTAAAATACTTTTAAAACTACTGGTTTTGAGAGAAAAATGTCAAAGGGCCAAGCCCCTATAGTCGCTATGCTACAAGATGGGAGCTTTTGGGACTCTCATGCTGGCGTGTGCCCTGGGGCCGCTTCTTGAGAGACAGGAAAGCTCAGACAGCTTTAGGGAACCAGGGTAGGGTTTGACTGAGGCTGTAGAAAGATGTGGTGTGAAGTAAAGAGGGAAGGCAGGGAATCTAGGCTGCTTAAAGATGCATCATTTAGAATCACAACCTTGATGAACAAGACCGCTGCCTTCTGGGCACCTGGGCACTCTGAGTCCCAGCTACTCAGGAGGTTGAGGTAGGAGAAAATCGCTTGAACCTGGAAGGGAGAGGTTGCAGTGAGCTAAGATCATACCACTGTACTCCAGCCTGGGCCACAGAGAGAGACTCCGTCTCAGAAAAATAAAAATAAGCCGGGCACGGTGGCTCAAGCCTGTAATCCCAGCACTTTGGGAGGCCGAGGCGGGTGGATCACGAGGTCAAGAGATCGAGACCATCCTGGTCAACATGGTGAAACCCCGTCTCTACTACATATATAATACATGAGTTAGCCAGGCACGGTGGCGGGCGCCTATAATCCCCGCTACTTGGAAGGCTGAGGCAGGAGAATTGCTTGAACCCAGGGGCCAGAGGCTGCAGTGGGCTGTGATTGTACCACTGCACTCCAGCCTGGGCAACAGAGTGAAACACTGCCTCAAACAAACAAACAAACAAACAAACAAACAAAACAAAAACACTCCCTTCCTTAGTTCACCTGGAGCCTTGGTCGCCTCCTGGATTACTCAGGTGGACACAGGTGACTCTTTTCCCCTGCTGTCCTGAGCTCTGAGAGCCTGGGATGGGACTGCCCATGTTCTCCAAGCCCCGTGCAGCTGTGTACCCTGTGGCTCCCGGACTCGGTGGTACCTCCCGGAGCCCTGTGACCGCCTTTTGTTCAGAAAACAGAATTTCTCTGTCCTGTCCTCCTTTCATCTGCCCCAAGGCAGGATTCTAATCTTCCCTCTCCTTTCTCCTTTTTTTTTTCTGGTGCTTTTTTTCATTTGCTCCCTCCCATTCCCTCACCTTTCTTATTATGGATTGTAAGACTCATTTAAGACTGGGGAAGGAAGGCTGGCATCAGGAAGTTTCCACAAAAACCCCAGAGGGCCGGGCGCAGAGGCTCACACCTGTAATCCCAACACTTTGGGAGGCCGAGGCAGGTGGATCGCTTGAGATCAGGAGTTCAAGACCAGCCTGGGCAGCATGGCAAACCCCATCTCTACTAAAAACACAAAAATTAGCTGGGCGTGATGGGCGCGAGTATCTGGGACTACAGGCATGCACCAGGCTGGTCTTGAACTCCTGGGCTCAAGTGATCCTCCCACCTGAGCCCCCCAAGGTGCTGGGATTACAAGTGTGAGCCACTGTGCCTGTGCTTTTTAGGAGAAACATGTTTATATCCCCTGCACAGAGGTTTGTAAAGGGAGATATGTTGGAGAGCTGCTTAGCAGAGCTGACAGATTCCCCTAAAGACTCCCCACAGACAGATTCCCCTAAAATAATCATTTCCCTCCCCTTCCTTGCCAACAGGGGCTCTAGTTAGAATCAGTATGGATGGGAGAGACAGCGGCATGGACAGAAGCGTCTGGGCCAGAGAGAGTCACTCACTGGGGAACTATAAGCAATTCTGGGGTCTGGCTGGAGGCAGGCTGCAGAGATGAGCCTGTGGAAGACAGGAGCCAGAGAAACGAGGGAATTCAAACGTCTTTTCAAGGCAGCAAGGAGCCATGGAATGTTTTCCAGCATGTTTGAAAGAAAAGTACGAGTTAACATATGCAGAGTATTCACCTATGACCCCTATGGCCAAATGGCCCAAATTCCTAAAAAAATTATGACTTTTTTCCGGGTAGACCAAAGCAAGTCTGTGAGGTCTTTGCATTCATTTCCTTTCTGTCTGTGCCCAGGTTCTCAGCAGCACTCAGCTCCAGCCCCGAGGCCTCTCCTGGATGCACAGCTAGGATTTTGAGCTCAGCATCTGTTCAACCCCTCACTGAACCTGTTCTCCACCTCGGCCACTTGAGACGCTTAGTGAAATCCAAGGATCACTTTAATGGTTATTCACACAATATTTCTTTTAAATAAATGTGTTTTAATTAGTTATTTTTCATTTCTTTTCTTCACCCCTGGGTAGCAATTTTTTATTTTTTATCCTTATGAAGTATAATTTGTATACAATAAAATGTATCCATTTTAATTATTCAGTTCAATGACTTTTGGCAAATGTATATGCACATGAAACCACAATCAAGAACTTTTTTGGCCAGGCACGGTGGCTCATACCTGTAATCCCAGAACTTTGGGAGGCTGAAGTGGGTGGATCACCTGAGGTCAGGTGTTTGAGACCAGCCTGGCCAATATGGTGAAACCCTGTCTCTACTAAAAATTACAAAAATTAGCCAGGCATGGTGGTCCCCACCTGTAATTCCAGCTACTTGGGAGGCTGAGGCACGAGAATCGCTTGAACCTGGGAGGCGAAGGTTGCAGTGAGTCGAGATTGCACCACTGCATTCCAGCCTGGGAGACAGAGCAAGACTCTGTCCCCCCCAAAAAAAGGGCAGCTTAACAAATGGGAGGTGTTAAAAACATATTATCAAACTAAGATTGTTCTTCCTTGAAGAACTTCACTAACTTTGCATCCAGTGCCACCCAAACTTCCTCACACCCCACCAGTGATCCACCCAGCCATCTCTCACACTTCCTACACTTTCTAATGGCTTGGAATCTGCTGAGCTGTGTGTCCCAGGAAAGCCAGTAGCAGTGGCTTAAACCCATGCAGATTTAGTGTCCTCATGCTGCACAAAGTATGGAGGTGGGCTGTGTCCAGAACTGAAGCAATGCCCCACCTGTCACCACAGCGTCAAGACTTTTTCTTGTAGGCCATCCTGAGGGCTTCTGTTCTCGTGGTCTCAGGTCAGCTTTCCAGCCCCAGGCCCCAGACCTCATTCCAGGGCACAGGAAGGAATGCAAGTGTGTCTTCTTTCTCTTCTCTTTGTTCCTTATTTTGTCAGTCTCATTTTAAAAGGGTTCCAGAAGGAATGAGAAAATCGCTGGTGGGCAGCCTACCGTGTTAAACAGAAGTTGATTATTCATGTTTTAAGAAGAGATGTATGAGGCTACGACAGCCTTCCTTCAGATGAATGAAAGAAACTGACAAATGGAGAGGCCGCCCAGCCCTCCAGGAAATCCCTGCTAGTCTGCTTTGGAAAAGTGTCCTAATTACTGCCTCAGCAATCACCAAGTTGAGGGTAGGGACTGTGTCTTCCCTGTATTCTTCCCTCTCTCTCTGGAAGCCTCAGCCCTTCTCATCTCCAGGTCCCAGAACCATTATAATTCTCATTCCAATTACTGTAAAACATTTCCTGGGATTAGCTAAACTCACACATATGAAGGTGGGGAATGTTATGCCTTAGAAAGTTACGTTTCTGGCCAGGTGCGGTAGCTTATGCCTATAATCTCAGCACTTTGGGAGGCTGAGGCAAGTGGATCATTTGAGGACAGGAGTTTGAGACCAGCCTGGCTAACACGGTGAAATCCCATCTCTTCCAAAAATACAAAAATTAGCCAAGCATGATGGCAGGCACCTGTAGTCCCCGCTACTTGGGAGGCTGAGGCAGGAGAATCACTTGAACTCGGAAGGCGGAGGTTGCAGCAAGCCGAGATCAAGCCACTGCACTCCAGTCTGGGCAACAGGGCAAGGCTCCATCCCCCCAACCCCCCTAAAAAAAAAAAAAAGAAAGTGACATTTCCTAAGCATTCAAGTTAATCATAATCTTGAACATAGATTTTCTGCTGTCAGTTGAAATCTTCCATTTATTATTAAAATTAATGGCGAAAACCGCAATTACTTTTGCACCAACCTAATACTTTAACATCTGATATTTTAAAATATGAATGACTTAAAATAGGAAAATTGAGATTTGATAGGCAAAGATAATAATAATTAAGGTTTATTGATCACTTTCTAATCCTTTTCATTCCTTTTTTTCTGGTTAATGTGGGATTTCTTTTTTTTTTTTTTTTATCCAAAATGTGTTTATTGAGATGGTTTCCCACTCATCTTGATTCAGAGTGCTTTTAGTGCTGCTTCCTCCTGAAAGAACATCCTTCTGTAAGCCTTGCTTTTCCTCCTGTAGGCTGGCAGAGGACAGTGGAGCAGCCAACACACAAAACTACCGTTTGTGCATGGCTGAAGACCGTGGTGATTTTATAGCATCCTGGGCATTTCACATCCATGAAGTAGGAATTGGGGCTCTGCACCAGGCGTTTCTTCTTGTGTTTCCTCTTCTCCTCTTCTGGAGAGGGATGAAGGAGATCCTTTGCGAGAGGCATGTTCTCGTGTGTAGGTCGTCACCGCCGGAAAGGCTAATGTGGGATTTCTTACTAAACTTGGTGAGAGTGCTAATCACTGAGTGGGCTTTGCCTTCCTATGATACAACCATTGGCCAAAGGCTGTTTTCAGCATTATGGCAACTCCTATATGTCAGCAGCAACCTGTCTGAAAGGTGAGGGATATGATCCTATTAAACCTGGCATACCCATGTGAGTTATAGGAACTATTAAGGAATATGATGAAAAGTCCCAGAAAACAGCCAGTGTGAACACGGTGTGCTCGTGGGTGAGGAGTTCTCTGGGCCAAGCTCCGTGTGAAAGTGGATGGAAAGCGCATCTTCCGGGCACTGCTGCCATCTGCTGCTGCCTTGCTTCAGGAAGGCATTTTGCAGATCACAGGCAGGGAGACGACCAAACAAACCAAAGCTGATTGTGTCGGCATTAAATGTTTAACATTTCTATTGCTGAGCATTTGACACAAATATGTTCGTTTGCTTTTCTGTGATTCGTGAATGTCTTCAGGTATTTTCGAAGGACAAGAGGCTTCCATTTGGTGATTTACTTCTATTTCCCATCATGCAACTACATTTATTTTGAATAACAGTTTGCATTAAGTTATTTAAAATTAAAGGAAAAAAAATCAGACAATATATAGCTTTTTGCAGTATTATTTTGTAAGGATCACATAACATCAGACTTTTTGGAAAATTCTTAAAATAACTCATCCTAACTTATTTAGAGTAGCCACTTCAGAGATTTATATAATGAAAGTGAAAGCAGTCACTCCGGCTGGTCCGATGGTAGTGGGTTATCAGAACTTATTAACATTAGTGTCACTAAAGTTGGTATACAACCCCCCACTGCTAAATTTGACTGGCTTTTTACCATTTGATTTTGTATTTCAATTAAAGAAGCTAACTTTACAAAATATTCATGTTGGGGAAAAAGCATTCTTATATGAATGTCCCCTTCTTTTTTTTTAGGGTCCCACACTGTTGTCCAGGCTGGAGTACAGTGGCACAATCATAACTCACTGCAGCCTTAAACTCCTGGCTCCAGCAATCCTCCCACCTTAGCCTCCTGAGTAGCTGGGACTACAGACACATGCCACCACGCTTAGTAACTTTTTTTTCCTTTTTTAGAGAAAGAATCTCACTATGTTACCCAGGCTGGTCTCCAACTCCTTGGGCTCAAGTGATCGTCCTGCCTTTGCCTCCCAAAGTGCTGGCATTACAGGCGTTAGCCACTATGTCCAGCCTGAATGTACTTTTTTTTTTTCTGAGCCAGAGTCTTGCTCTGTCACCCAGGCTGGAGTGCAATGGCACAATCTCAGCTCACTGCAATCTCTGCCTCCGGGTTCAAGCAATTCTCCTGCCTTAGCCTCCTGAGTAGCTGGGATTATGTCACCACCACGCTCAGCTAATTTTTGTATTTTTAGTAGAGATGGGGTTTCACCATGTTGGCCAGGCTGGTCTTGAACTCTCGACCTTGTGATCCGCTCACCTCAGCCTCCCAAAGTGCTGGGATTACAGGCATGAGCCACTGCTCTCGGCACCTGGTGACAGAGCAAGACTCTGTCTCAAAAATAAATAAAATAAAATAAAAATAAAAAATAAGTGGATCATCTAGGCAGCCTTCCACCTGCTTCCCAATGCCTTTGTCTGAACAGCGTGGCTCAGTTGCCTGCACCTAGCTGCAGCTGCCCGGTGCGCCGCAGAACAGAACAGGCAGGAGTTCGTGATGAGGGAAATGGTGCTGCAGCAGCCCAGGCTGTCTCCTCTGCATGGCCCGGTAGCAACAAATATCTGTGTTAGCTGGTTATCAAATGCCATGCTCTCCAGGGCCCCAATGGAAATTGATCCTTCAAGGAGACTCCTGTTTCCAGGGCCCACCTCTCCCATTTTCCCCACCCCATCTCTGAGTACCCTAACCAGTGCCCTGGCAAAAAACACCCCACTGTCCCCCAGGACAGAGCCCCTGTGCTGTCTCTATCTACCACCTCGTGCCTTGAATTTTCTTTATCCATCTGCTTTTCTAGTTCCCCAACTAGACAGCAAATATGTTGCCTGAGGTGTTTTTAGATGGAGTCTTGCTCTGTCGCCCAGGCTGGAGTGCAGTGGTGCAATCTCGGCTCACTGCAACCTCTGCCTTCTGGGTTCAAGTGATTCTCCTGCCTCAGCCTCCCGAGTAGATGGGATTACAGGCACGCACCACATGCCTGGATACAGTTTTTTGTACTTTTATTAGAGACGGGGTTTCGCCATGTTGGTCAGGCTGTTTTCGAACTCCTGACCTCAGGTGATCCCCCCCGCCTCAGCCTTCCAAAGTGCTGGATTACAGATGTGAGCCACTGTGCCCGGCCAGCCCAAGTTCTTTACACCTATGCATTCCCTGTGCCTGGAATGCAAACCGCCTCTTCCTAGGTTCCCGGTGTTTTGAGAGTGAATGAACACTTGAGTCAAAAAACATTTAATATAATTTGCTGACTGTAATATACAAATGTTTCAAGAGCTTGGTCCAGAGGTTACTTTATTCCCGATCAATGGGTCAAGCCAGCAGGCCTCTCTGGGAGCTGGGGTAGGTGGCAGGTGGAAGTGAATGATGAGGTTATGGGACGGGGCGGAAAGACAAACAGAATGAACCGGCATCGCTGAAGACAGATCTCTAAGACATCAGGGCTTGAGCTCTCCCTTGGCTCAGGCTGTGGTGACCAGACATATGTTGATAAGGCGCTTCTCCTGACTGCATTCCAGGCACATGCAGCTCAGAAGCACCTTCAGGAGTCTTCCCAGCCTCTGGAAGTGAAGGGCAGCCCTGGCACCGTGTCCTCTCAGCCCAGATCCTCAGTCAAGGCCGTTGTCCAAATACGAGGAGGTCCTGTCTGCCCGTTCTGCCTTTGCACAGAAGGGTTAATTCGACAGCCCTCACATCTATTCACAATCCTTGCTCCACTTTATCACCAGAATAAAAACCATTCCAATCCAAAATAGACAGTGTTTGTGTGTGTTTCAATTTGCTGCTCTACCCATTCCGTTCGGTGGAGTCTCTCCAAGAAACTTCTCAATTAAGCTTTCGTTGACATTGTTTCAGCATCAGAGTTATTTTTTTCCTTTCCTTCTTTGCTTCCATCTCTGAGGAACGGAATGATCAACTTCCCTGATGCACCAAAGAGTTAACAACAAAGGTTTCCTGGAAAAGGGAGAAAAGCCGCCACAGAAAGCTGGATTCCTGGCGGCCTGGGCCTGAGGGGCAGCATTGCCTTGCACTGGTGGTGAGGGAGCCTCCAGAATGGCTGAGGGTGTGGACCCTGAACCTTGATGCCTCGGTCACACTTCTCACTGCTCCCAGGAGCTGGCTCCAGGGGTGGGGATCACCCCAGCAGCTGGTGTAGCTGAATCATGATCACCACTGTCTCTTGTAAAAAAGATCCTGAGGCAGTCAGAAGCTCCAAGAACATTTGACTGTCCAAGAAAATGTAGACCCCAAAAGGGGAAGGATTCTGTTTACGGAAAGAAATGAGGCGGCTCTCTCACCATCCTTCACCAAACAGGAATGCCTGGGAGGAGCCAGGGATGCCAGCTCATTGTTTCAGGAGGAAACAGGGAGGTGGACAAGTGTACCTTTAAAAGGATAGTTGGGGCCAAATGCTGTGGCTCATGTCTGTAATCCCAGCACTTTGGGAGGTCGAAGCAAGTGGATCACTTGAGATCAGGAGTTCAAGACCAGCCTAGCCGATGGTGAAACCCCATCTCTACTAAAAGTACAAACAAATTTCCCAGGCGTGGTGGCACATGCCTGTAATCCCAGCTACTGGGGAGGCTGAGGCAGGAGAATCTCTTGAACCCGGGAGGCAGAGGTTGCGGTGAGCCGAGGTCATGCCATAGCACTCCAGCCTGGGTGACAGAGTGAGACTCCATCTCAAACAAAAAAATAGTTGGCCCTCTGCATCTGCAGGTTCCCCATTCATGGATTCAACCAACTGCTGATCAAAAATATCTGGGGGAGAAAAGTGGATAGTTTTGTCCATCCTGAACACAGACTTTTTCAGGGTAATTATTTACTAAACAATACAGTATAACAAGTATTTCTATAGCATGTACATTGTATTAGGTATTATATAAATCTGTACTTGGAATCTACAAGTATGATTTATAAGTATATGGGGGGATGTGTATAGGTTATATGTAAATTCTACACCATTTTTTTTTTAATGAGACAGAGCTTTTGCTCTGTCACCCAGGCTGGAGTACAGTGGTGTGATCTCCACTCACCAAAATCTCTGCCTCCTGGATTCAAGACATTCTCTTGCCTCAGCCTCCCAAGTAGCTGGGATTACAGGCGTGCACCACCACATCCAGCTAATTTTTGTATTTTTAGTAGAGACGGGGTTTCACCATGTTGGCCAGGCTGGTCTCAAACTCCTGACGTTACATGATCCACCCACTTCGGCCTCCCAAAGTGCTAGGATTACAGGCATGAGCCACTGCGCCCAGCAATTGTATACCATTTTATATGAGGGGCTTAAAAGCAGCCATGGATTTTGGGACCCAGTGGGGGTCCTGGAGCCATTCCCCACAGATACCAAGGAATGATTGTAGATGACTGTACATGCCACACTGTGTTTACCCATTCATGCCCTCCATGGGTACTTGGTTGCCTCCACCTTATAGCTAATTGTGAACTATGATCTATGCTGCTATGAACATAGGTGGACACAGATCTTCTGTTCCAGTCCCTGCCTTTTTTTTTTTTTTTTTTGAGACAAGGTCTTGCTCTGTCACCCAGGCTAGAATGCAGTGGTGCAATCATGGCTCACTGCAGCCTCAACCTCCCAGGTTCAGGTGATTCTCCCACCTCAGCATCTCAAGTAGTCGGGATTACAGGCATGTGCCACCACGTCCTGCTAATTTTTTTTTTCTTTTGAGAGAGAGACTCCTGTGTCGCCCAGGCTGGAGTATAGTGGCACTATCTCGGTTCACTGCAACCTCTGCCTCCCCAATTCAAGTGATTCTCCTGTCTTAGCCTCCGTGTAGCTGGGA